GTCTTCTTTCTACTGCTACCTGCCCTTCTTCCTCACAACAAAGAAACCAATTCTGAAATAGCTTATAAATTGGAATCCAGGAGGAAAAAAGTCTAACCCTGTCCAGTGGGAAGTGAGATGCTTCCAACAGAAAAGTCACAAATGAACTCAGAGTGTTCGTCTCATCACTCCTTGGTGACATTAAATCATTTGTGGTCACTTAGTTATCTCACCTGCCCTCCCCACCATTCTAAGGCGCTTCCCAATAAGAGTAACATTATACCTTTTATCCACAAATCAACCTATTATAAACAGCTTAACTTTTGCACCCTGAAAAGGCAAACCTTTTCTTTTGCAAGATGAGAAAGCTGTGCTAAAGTTCTGGGGGGGAAAAAATACTATCCTTTTTTATTTTAGCATGTTTTTGAACAAACATCCATTGTAATTCAGTATTCCATGTCAGAAATTGTAGTAGGAGGTAATCTATATGTCTGACCCCAACTCTTTCCTCTTTTTTTCCCAACCTGGCTAAGTAGGTATTCATGCTTTAATCTGAATCATGCCATCATTTAACAAGTAAAAAGGTATATTTATAGAGTTAAATATCCAGAACTCACTATATGAGAAAAACCGAATTTATATACCAGTACAAGCTATTCTCCATTCAAACTGCTATAACAAATACTGTGTTAGTCCATCCAAACTGCTATACCACAGGCTTGATGACTTATAAATAACAGCAATTTATTTCCCACAGTTCTGGAGACTGGGAAGTCCAAGATTAAGGCACCAACAGATTTCACATCTGGTTCACAAACAAATATCTTTTTGGTGATATTTATGTGGTGAAAGGGCAGGGAGCTTTCAGTCCTCTCCCCTTCCCCTATTTTTTTTTTTTTTTTTTTTATATACAAGGGCACTAATCCCATTCAGGAAGGTTCCACCCTCATTACCTAATCATCTCAAAGTCCTCACCTCCTAAAGCCCTCATCTTGGTGGTTAGGATTGCAACTGATAGATTTTGAGGAAAAGTAAACTTTCAGTCCACTGCATACTCTTTTAAAACATATCTGTTGATTATCAGTCTCTTCATTACAAGGTATTTATAGAAACTTCAATAATGAACCTCACCTGACACCCCCCAACACACACACTTTTCCTGGCAATCACTCACTCATATCCGTCCTCTCCCTCTTAACCATCAGGAATACATTCTCACTCATTCTCTGCTCTAGTACTTCAGTCAAGGCTGCTGGTAGAAGAGGCAAATATATTAAGTATACCCTTAAGAAGAGCCCACTGGCCAGGCAGTCCCTCTGACACAGCTAAGACACTGTTGTTTACTGTTTGACTGAATGAGCCTAAGCAACACTGGTAGGCGTCCTGAAGAATGACAGTTCTCACAGAGCTTGCCACTCTGAGAGCCAAGTTGACAGGAATGGGTTTCTCATTGCTTATCCAGCCATCACAAGGAGTGCTGGGTGTATGCTGGGTCCATCTATAAAAGATCCAAGGAAAGAGTAATTGCTTTTTCTGTAGAATCTTCTTTGTTAGTTATTCTGAAATACTGTAGCTTTTGGGAATACAAATGACAAATAGCCCAAAGGATTCTTTTAACTCAATCATAACTGAAAAACACAAGAAACAAAACCATTGGCTAGGATAACGGTATGAAAAAAACAACAACTCTGTATTCTTCAATGACTTATATCTACCTGTAGGAAAAAAAAAAAAAAAAAAAAGACATTTAGCCTGCTTCAAAGTTTGATAAGAAAACAATTAGTAACCACAGAAATTGGATAACCCAGAGGCCGAAAGCTACCTTCCCAACCAAGGCCAGCAGCTGCTTCATGTCACAGATGAGAAAATAAGACAGAGAGAAATTAGGCGCCTGCACTAGTTTGAGGTAAGTTTGACTAGAACTTGAATGTTCCGACTCTCATTCAATACTTTCTGCCTCTCTCTCCTAAACCCGCAAGGAAGAAAATGCATTATCTTTCATAACAATAGCTCAAATAATTTTTTATTTCCCCACAGAAGTTCAGCAGAAGTGTAATCCCACATTTGTGAATACCATAGCAACACACATACCAAAAAAAATTTTTTGGAAGAGCATTTATTATAATTCCAGAGAATGGATTACTAAGCCTAAACAAGCATTAAATCAAGAAAATCCATCAAATAGATGATAATGCCACATTATTAAATAAGATTTTGGTCCTTGTCATCAAGCTAACAACATAATACAAAAGTATACACTGCCATTTGAAAGCATTCAGTTTTCTTTTTCACATCAGATATTTTACTGTCAATCAAGACATATCTATAGTGGGCCTTCCTATCCTTACCCGCAGCTAAGTATAGTATAAAGGCTATTCTTAAAACCACCAAGCTTTGGGCTACTCACAGACTTGGCGAAAGTCACTGAATTGAAGCTCCATTTTTAACCAACCATGCTGGGCATCCATATTATTGCCCATATGGTACTATAATATGACATTGTTCTGGCCACCGATGCCTCCACTGCCATCATCCCAACAGTGCGAGTGGATAGGAAAAGACAGAACTGTTTGAGCAAAAGTCCAATTCAGCCAATTCTTCATAGAGAGAAATACACAAAACTGAGGAGGAGATATTCAAATTCACCATTTTAGTCACAACAAGGACATTACAGACCCCATTTGATGGAAATAAGGATCTTGGATAGTCAGGTATTTCATAGATATGTTCTCAGCTTTGAAATCAATGACAATAGAAGAAAAACAAATAGAATACCCCGGGGAATTATTCCTATTATAAAAGCATTTCATTTCACAAATGGACACACAACAGGCTCCTCAAAATCATGTTATACATTACGGAATATGGCAAAAGGAAAAAATGTATGCACAACATATTAGAAGGGTTCTAAAAGTGAGTCATACCAGTGATAATATCGTCTGGGTCAGTTATGTTGATTCTGACCCTTGATGGATACTGAGATGAAGGACACAGGTTAGATGCCAGAATGTGTCACTTAGGTTTGAGAAGAGGAGAAACATGCAGAACTTGTAATTCCGGATACAACTATACCCTTGGATTTTTAGAGAACTGAGGTAGGCAGAATTGTCACAGCTTTAACAAGAAACAAAATAGACACCCAGTCAGTAGCATCCTGTGATATCTGGGCCATACTGAATGATTACTCTGAACATTAATCATAAACTTTCACTTTCCATACAGGTCATGAAATCCCTTTGTACTTGAATCAATGGCCTGAGTGACCATCGATCTATGACCAACTCTCTCCATATCAATACGAGGACATTTGCTGGGACTGACAGTTGAAAGAAGCTGATCCCTTTGTGTAAACTCTTAAGTCACAGGATTGTGCGAAGGGAGAGAAAAATGTTCAGAAAAAGGAAAAATGAACTTCCAGTTTTCCATTATTACATTATATTTATTGTTTTCAGGCAGAGAAAGTCTAAGCATAAAGCTGTTTCCACTCTCTAATTTTCTTTTTCTCCGACCTAATGAACAGCCTGGAATCAGCTTTCTGCATACAGGTCATCGGCTGACATGCTTTTGTTGTCCAAAACATACGACTACACATCTCTTTCGAATGCATTAGCTAGCTCAAAGTGATCCCAGCCAGAATTTATCAATCAGAATCAATTAGATATCATTTGGCAACTGTGTGGAGCCCCTACTATGTGTCAATACAGAGCAATCTGCTAATCCTGAGAGGCTTTTTTTTTTTAGAGAGAGAGAGAGATAGCAAGGTTAAATATGAATTCCTATTTTCTGTAAGCAAACATTTGCTCTAGAAGCAACTTTAAACCTGCCAACACACCCACTTTTTCACAGCAAGTCTTAGTGCCAGACAGGATCAATGAGGTATCTGTGCTGGATTCCAATCATTTAAAAAATAGGTCTTTAAATCTGTTCCCTTGTGCACTCAATCCCTGCAAGTGGACAGCTCACTTAGCTCGTAAGCAACAATATTGCCCATTGAAAAAATGACCCTTTCTTAAACAAGATATACTTGTTGTTCCCATGAAGCTTTGTTGCCATTTCCAGCAACAAATTTAACATCCTCAATAGCGGTTTTAGACAAACAGAAACAGCAAACGAAAGAACAGAGCAAAAGCTGAAGAAACAGCACTAAGGTGAGTTGTGCGCAGGGGAAGAGAGACGGAGTGGAAGTTAAATCTGGTCTTGACTCTGTGATCTAAGAAATCCAGTCTTTCCTGCTGAAGGGGTCTGAAAGGAGAAGCGTACGGGGTGGTTTTCAGTGGAGAGAAAGAAGTGTGCTGTTATCCCGGTTCTGTTTCAATAAGACCAGGAGAGCCAGGGCAGACAAATTTCAGTTTAGTGACTAAGACGGATTCAATGAAAGTAGCACAAGTTTGTTCATGACACAGTGCTACTTACCCAGCCGAACCCGAGATTTATATAAGCAATAATATGTCAATGCTTTAAAAAAAAAAATGTTAAGTGCGTACCAAACCAAAAGTATGGCTATTCCTGGGAAACATGTACCCATTTAATGTCACCATGGTGCGGGTTGGGCGCCCATCCTGTCCCGTCTTCTTGTTACAGACACAGCTCATGGCCTGGAGTGCTGGAAACCCACAAACTATGGTCACCTACGTCCCAGGACTGTGGGCCTGACACTCAGCATCCCCGGCGGAGACATCAAAGAGCGGCCAGAAGCCAAGGAGCCCCCGAAAAATCCGTGCGCCTACTGGGGCGAACCCATTGGAAGTGTGTGCGGTTCCTCCGCCCTCCCGGCTGCCTGAGCGACCTGGCCGGTGCGGCCGGCAGGTGGGCGGCGGCGAGCCCGGGCGGGCCAGCCCTGCCGGCAGCGCGGCGCGCGGAGGGGAGCCCCGCGGAGTGCCGGCTGCCCTCACCTTCGCGGGCCTGTCCCCGCGCCCGGCCGGAGATCCGGCCGAGGAGGAGTGCGGGGGGTTGGTCCCGGGGCTCGCGGCCCCTCTCCGGCGCCCGGAGGAATCCGGAGGCAAGCCGGGGAGGGACCTTCTCCGGATCCCCGAGCAGCAGCCCCTTCCTGAACACAAAGGTTTGGAGACTCGAGCGCGGGGGGCGCGGGAGCAGGAGCCACGGAGCACGCAGGAGTGCGTGAGCGCGCGAGGGTGTGTGTGTGTGTGTGTGTGTGTGTGTGTGTGTGTGTGTGCGCGTGTGTGTGCGCGTGTGTTAGGGGGAGGGGAGGCGCGCTCCAGCCCTTCTTACCTCTCGAAGACGAGCCGCACCATGAAGATGCAGAAGGCCAGGGGGAAGGCGAGGTAGAGGTCCTCCGCCTGCGGGAAGTTGGCTTCCTCCGTGTTCTTCAAGTCCGCCCAGGTGACATTGTGCGGAAGCCAGAACCTCTCGTTCCAGAACCAGGCTAAGATCCCTGCCATCTTGCTTTGTCCGCTCCGGTCCAGGCTCCCCCCGCGGCCCGCGGGGCTCGTGGCGGTGCGGGGCGCCCGGGGCTGCGCGCGCTGCAGGTCCGAGCCGGTGCCGCCGCCGCCGCCGCCTCCTCCGCGGCCGCTGCTCTCGAAGGCTCGCGGCGAACGCCGGTTCTCTCCTCCCTCTGGCCGACCTGGCGAGCGGAGCCGCCTCGCCTGTCACATGGCAGCCCGGGCCGCCGCCCGGATTGGTCCGCCCTCGCGTCAAACAGCCCGGCACACGCGGCCGGCTCGCCCACGCCCGGGGGACAGGAGGGCGCGGGCGCTGCGCCCCGGGCGCCCGGGCTCCGCTCGGGGGAAAGTGCCGCCGGCCCCGCGCTCCCCCTTTCCCCGCTCTGCGCTCAGGACTGCGCCCCGGGGCCGGCCTCCCGCCTGCGCCCGGGTCCCAAGCCTTGCTCGCACATGCTCAGAACGCCGGCCCCGGCCCCACCGGAGTTTCAGGGGGTCTCGATCCGCCTCCCTCCCGCGCGCCTGCAGGCGGTGAAGAGGCAAGTAGGGGCCAGGCTACTTCAGAACCATCTCTGGACGGGGAGAAAATGGCCAAAGGAGAAGTAGGGGGCGCAAAGAGAGAAGGAGGAAGAAGTAACCAGGAAGGAGTTATGATCCACTGGGGCTCTTGGAGAGGCAGGGTGAAAATCAGGAACTGGTGGCAAGAATGGTTTGGCACCAGCCATCTCTATCTACCCCATGCCCATCTTCTCTCTTTCTTCCCCTTCCTCTCCCCCACCTCCATCTCTGACCTTCTGGCCTCCTGAAAGTACTGCTGCTGGTTACCACAACCAGTTCCCCCAGGGAACAAGGCCCTCTTATTGTAATTTATGAAGAGGTAGGAGAAATTAGGCACTTAATTGCTATTTGATGACGAAGGTGATGACAGTAACTGCAGATTCTGTAAACTGGCCCTCTAAAGGAACCTCTCAGAAAATGCCATCAGACCACATTTTGGCTTCACAGATCAGGAGAGAACTTTGCTATTTGGCAGGCTCCTTCTTAATGCCTTTCAAATCCGAAACAAACTTTAAGGCATTATGTCTGACCCAGGCTCCTTCTCTCCCACAATATATTTTCTCATCGATTCAGGATCTATGTGTGGATCCGTTCAGTGGCCTTTGCAGATATTTTTCTCATAGTCATTCATTTTTCTACTAGTAAGTTCCTCTGGGCCTTTCCAAGAGGCATATAAACATGCCCTCCATTCACACTTCTTTACTTTCTCTCCAGCAACCACCCTCCTTCCTTGCCTTCCCTTTAAAGCGATGCTCTAGAGCAGTCGTCGGCAAACTCATTAGTCAACAGAGCCAAATATCAACAGTACAATGATTAAAATTTCTTTTCAGAGCCAAATTTTTTAAACTTAAACTTCTTCTAATTCCACTTCTTTAAAATAGACTCATTCAGGCCAAGGTATTTCGTGGAAGAGCCACACTCAAGGGTCCAAAGAGGCACATGTGGTTTGTGAGCCCCAATTTGCTGACCACGGTTCTAGAAAATTACTTACATTTATTGCTTTCAGTTTCTTTTCCTTCCTTTCTCATTTGAATTTCCTTTTGGGCATTTTCCCTCTGTACTACACGGAATTGCTCAAAGTCACCAATGATGTCCATGCTGAGAAACCCAAGGGTCAGTTCTCAACGCCTATACCAGTAGCGTTTAGCCAAGTTGTCTTGGCTTCCGGAAAACACTTTTCTGTTTTTCTCCAACCTCATGTCCACTTTTTATCAAGTCTCCTTGCTGGCTACTTCTCACCTTTCGAACCCCTTAAAGTTGGAGTGGCTTTAGGAGTCAGTCTTTTGTCCTCTTCACTTTCTATCTACATTCATTTACTTTGTGATCTAAGTCAGTACCTTGGCTTTCAAGGTCATACTGATGCCTCCCAAATGTATATCTCTAGCCACAAACTGATCCTTGAACGTCACACTTCAAAATCCACTATCAATTTACCAATCCCACGTTGATGTCTAAGAGCCATTTCCTGTCTAAATTACTAATCTTCCCCCTAAAATGTTTCCCTTCTGTTGTCTTGACTCAAGCCAAACACTTGGAATAATCTTGTTTTGCTTTACTTTCTCAAATCTCCTTTCCAATCCATCAGAAATCCTACCTGCTCCATCTTTAAACCAGAATCACACCACTTCTTCTACTACCATCTTGGTAAAAAATCAACAAACACTTCATTATTTTTAATTCCTTTTTATTGTTGACACTATTACAGGTGTCCCCATCCTCCCCCACTTTGCTCACCTCCACCTGGCCCCAATGTAAGTCAGGTCACTTCTGTGTTTTAAAGCCCTACTAGCCTCACCATCCATCCCCAAGTGGAAGCCAATGTCATTTTCATGTTCTGAGATATTTGACTTCATAGTGATTCTCTGACCACATCTAGTCTCTTACTCTTCTTTGGTCAGATTGAGCTTCCTTTTCCTTCCTGCAAAACACCCAGCATGCCTTGGGGCCTTTAAACTTGCTTTCCTCTATCCTTGTAATGTTTTCCCCCTAACAGTCCATGTCTGCTCTTTCTAGAATGTCACTCACTCGGTGAAACCTTCCCTAAGCCACCCTCATTAATCTACAACCTTCACGCCCCACCCCACTCTTCCCATCCAACTCTCCTGCTTTGTTTTCCCTCAAAGCATGCACCACCACCTCAACAATATATTTTTTACTTATTTTTTATTGGTCTCTCCACACACAAACTAAAATGTAAGCTTCAAAAAGTTAAAGGTTTGTGTCTATCACTACTCTATCCTTAGCACTTAAAATAGTGCCCAGGCCATGGTGGGTACTCAATATATCAACTCTTTTTTCATGATAAAATGCTTTTTATTTATTTTCTCTGTTGTAAGGGTTATTTTGAATGTTTTTTTTAATTCTTTATTGTTAAAGTATTACATATGTCTCCTTTTGCCCTATTCCTCTTTCCAGTTGTTCCCACCCCTTCACCCCCAGCACCTGCCCCCTACTGTCTGTGTCCGTTGGTTAGGCATTTTCCCTCTGTACTACACGGAATTGTTCAAAGTCACCATTGGTTAGGCTTATATGCATGCATACAAATTCTTTGGTTGCTCTCTTACCCCACCCCCAGCCCTCCCTTGCCTCCCCTCTGAGGTTGGATGGTCTGTTCGAAGCAGTTTATATTGCACAAATGAGTGAGATCATTTGATATTTATCTTTCCCCAACTGGCTTATTTTGCTTAGCATAATGGTAAGTGTTCCTTCTTTTTTTACAGCAGTATAGTATTCCATGGTGTAGATGTATCTCGATAAACTATTGAGTCACTGAATCACCATTATTCCAACTCCTCACTCCAAATCTTCTCTAGGAGAGGAAAGAAATCTGAATAAGTAATTGTGTTAAGTGCTTATATACTTGTGAAGAATAGTGTGGGCATAAAGAGGGATCAATTCTGAGGTAGAATGGAAGTGGCACCATCCCCACTTTAGACCATGCAGCCAGCTGCTCAGTGTTGCTGATGACCCTCCAAGAAACTGCCTTGGCATCAACTACATTCTCATAGGCCACAGAAAGGAGGTTTGTTGCCTTCTCTTGCCACATTTGTGGCAGGAGGTCATGTCATGATAGAGCCTGGCCTTCTGGGCCAGCCAGACTCTCTCCATGGCTACCTCCCGCTCTCTCATGTCACTCTCATGTGTGACCTGACAATATCTTGCCTTCTACCCGAGGACCTCTCTGCTGTCCAGCAAGTCCTGCTGTATCTCCCAAGCATGCGCAACAGGAAATGTTTGTGAGTTAATGCCCTAGGGCCTGATCTTTGATCAAGGGCAGTGGAATCCAATGGGCAAATGTTTATTCCTTTTCCTTGCCTGCCCATAGGGCCACACACAAGAGCTTCAAACAGCCTCTCTGAAAATATCATATGATAAAAATCAATCAGCTTATTTCAAAACTGTGGCCCCAGTAACTCACTCCCTTATATTCCCTCTCTCTCTTTCTCTACCTCACTCTCCTTTTCAACCTCAGACCTGCTTCTCTGAAATTATACTTCCCTGGAATTGCTTTTTTTTTTTTTTTTTTTTTTTTTGCTTTTTTTTCTTTTTTCTGGAGAACACAAGTTAAAATAGTATTTCTTACCTGTTCATCAACTTTGAGAAGGTGGTGGGATTTCAGGAACATTTTGAAAGATGGTTTTGTTAGAGAGTGGAATGATAATTTACCACCCTTCTGTGGGATTGCACAAGTCACTTAATTTCTAAGAACATTTTTATGACCTTTGATGTAAGTTGTGCACCAATAGTTCCTGTCTTGCTAATGCTACTCAACACCATGAGGCTCTCACTGAGATAGCAGATGTGGGAAGGGGCTGTAAACTCTTCGCCTCCATACACATGTACAATATCTTGTAGCAAACTTCTACTCTTTGATCTGTCCAGCATATCTTCAGACAACAGCCCTTTCCTATCACCCTCCATCCAAATGACTACCCCATAAGTACAATAGAATAAAATATTCCGTGTCTAACCACATTTTATTGGTTCCAGCGTGGACCCTTGGCCCAAGAGAGCAATTAAAGTTTGTCTTTAGGTATTGATTGGGGCATGGGTCAAGGCAATCTTTCTCTGTACACTTGGACTCTAGGATTTCAAACTCAGAAGCTGTTAGCCCCAAATTTCATCATATGGGTAGGAAAGGCTAATGTGCAAAAGGGGAGAAGAATAAAGCAGACCTATAGAATCAAGTAAAGGTAAGAGATGAATTTCCACATGGTACCTGGGGGCCAACTGCTTTTTCAGTCACGAAACAGTCTTGTATCCTCACACAAAAAATTCCTTTTAAAGTTGGGTTTCTGTTATTTCAACCCAAAGGAGTTCCACTATAAACAAGACATTACTCTCTTATAGTCCACATATTTAAAACCTCAGTCCGGGATCCAGGGAGGGTTACTCACAGAAAGACAGTACAGCACACTTCCCTAGGAGACCACTTTGTACCTGCGCAGGAAAGACCTCTGGTTGTTGACCTGGGAAACCAAAATACAACTTATACATCAGACATGTTTGCAACTCCGAAAGAAGCCCCTAACTGGCCTATAAATAGAAGACATAAGGAGAGTAAAAAGGTGGAAAAAGGATTTTTTGGCCGAAACCGGTTTAGCTCAGTGGGTAGAGCGTCGGCCTGCAGACTGAAAGGTCCCAGGTTCAATTACGGTCAAGGGCAGGTACCTTGGTTGTGGGCACATCCCCAGTAGAGGGTGTGCAAGAGGCAGCTGATTGGTGATTCTCTCTCATCGATGTTTCTAACTCTCTATCCCTCTCTCCTCCTTTCTGTAAAAAAAATCAATAAAATATATTTTTTTAAAAAGGTTATTTTGGGGGTGTGGTGTGATACTGCTGATGCTGCATAAGAAGAAAGCACATTTTGGGTCCTGCATATAAAACATTATATAAGAACACACTCTCTCTTTTACCCCAGCAAAAAAGCTGAGCATTATTTCTCATTCTTTTTTTTTTTTTTAAATATATTTTTGTTGATTTCAGAGAGGAAGGGAGAGGGAGAGATATAAACATCAATGAGAATTATTGATGAGAATTATTGATTGGCTGCCTCTTGCACACTCCCCACCAGGGATTAAGCCCACAACCCAAGTATATGCCTTTAACTGGTATCAAACCCAGGACACTTCAGTCCACAGACCAACACTCTATCCACTGAGACAAACCAGCTAGGGCACTTCTCATTCTTAAGGTGCACACCCAGTTCTTAGTCCAAACATATTGTACTTGTTTATAGGAAGAACACAAAATCTATTTGGGAAGTAGAATGTGCTCATGGGAAAAGCCAGATATCAATACACCAGCACTAGCCAAAAGGGCACTGGAGAATATATGATGAGTGTCCGAATATTACAGATAACAAGGATTTCCTGCTCAAAGGGGGAAGAGACATAATGTGTTGAAGAGGAACAGGCAGAAATGACACCAGACCTTGAAGAATGAGTAGATTTTGAAAAGGAATGCACAAAGGAAAAATTTAGGGGCAAAAAACATGGTAATTGAGAAGCCAGATTACAAAGGGCTTTTACTATGAAGCAAAGGAATACTCCTACTTATTTTAGTGAGAATAGAATTTTATCTACTCTAATAATAGCAAAATATGCAAATTGACCGTACCTCTGCAGCGCCTGTCAGCCAGTCAGGAATGAGTATTCAAGTTAACCCAACAAAGATGGCAGGTTAATTTGCATGCACAGGTACAGAGCAAAAACTGAAGGCTCTGCCCCAAGCCAAGACTGAAGACTGAAGAGGCTTAGCTTCTCCACTGGAGCAGAGAAGCCAAGCCTTGTTGTCTCTGCTGCAGCCAGAGCAAAGGCTGGGTCCCGGGTACCAGAAGAAAACCGATGCCAGCAGCCAGGGAAGGAAGGCCTATTGCACGAATCTTCATGCAAGGGGCTTTTAGTCTATGATAATAGCATTTAAGTGATTCTATAGCACAATGTTTGTTACACAATACATGCTCAATTATTCTAGGTTTTTAAAAATATACAAATAAATCTAGTTATTGTTTGAAACATAGGACAGTGCTGAGGTGAAGATTGAATTTAAACACTCAGTTCCTTGATTTTAAAGGAACCTGGTTTTCACTGGGAATAAAATTGAAATATTGCCAAACATTATTTCTGCAGTCATTTCTTACGAACCTTCTTACTGTGGTTGGCAAAACTATCTAAATATTCTCTTGTTTTTTGATGTCCAGGTGGTCTTGGGTTTTCATTGATACAGGATGTAGGGCAGAAGTAGGGCAAGAATTAGGCAAGATTTATTAGCACAGTATGGAAACCACTCATAGCACTGCGGAAAACTCAGCATCTCCTGGCTTTATAAGAAAAGGATATGAGTGTCTAACTTATGGCATTGGAGTTAAGCTAAGTCAAGTGTGTAACCTGGACAGAAATTGAATATACATTATTTGCTAGAAGTCCTCCACTAGGACTGCTCACTCTCATGCTCACAGATTTCTTGCAACCATGCCAGGTATTAGAAGTCTAAAGATCTTTCTCCTGCCTCCTCTACATTGACAATTTCTCTCCCTGGAAAATATTTTCTAATACTTACAAACATCAATTACTCTTGTATTCCCAGATAAACTGAATTACTGGCTGGAGTTTCTGTCTTCTCTCAAATAATCAAAATCTAGTTAAGTGTTAATTTCCCCCTTTGCAATTTCCTTTAACATACTAGTGTTATCTCAGCATCCCACTAAAATTTTCAGCACGTCAAATGTGTTGCAAAACTAGCAAAGAAAAGTGAGGAACAACCAGGTTAACTAACTGTGGGCTATTCAGTTATGGATTACATTCACTTTAGTTACACATCTAAAAATTCATAAGATATGTTCACTGGATATAGACAACCATGATGGACTTTTAAACGTGTACATATAGATGAATAGCATTAGGGGGCAGGGCATCAGAATTGTTAGTCAAAAAGCCTGATTTCTACTTTGCACTATTTAAAGGTTTTTATAACCAAAAAGAAACAGAGAACTCAACTAATCCTCTGGCTAATTTTTTGTGAGGAGTGAGTAATCTAAAATATTTCTTGAAATTATTGACTTTGTATAGAAACAATATCAGGGCTGGAAGTGACCTCTTATACCAATGAGTACAATTCATTCTCTGTGCCCACTGAAACTATTATAAACATCTCTGATGACAGGGAGCTCACTACTTAACAAATTGGCCTGTATCGTTTTGGCACACCTATGACTATTAATGATGACTATCTTGAGAGGGCTAGCAAATTCTCCTTAGGTTTTACATTTGTAAAATAGGGATAATATTTTTATGTTGACCAGATGAACTTAGAACTCAAGGACAATATTCATGCCCAGTCACATCACCTTAAACAAAACATAGCACTGTATATTTGACCAATCACATTTAAACATTTGACCAATAACATTTAAATGGAGGCAGTTAATATTGTGATGTGCTATAACAAGGGATATAAAATTTCACTGTTTTAGGGAAGGAAAATCCTGACTATTGAGATAATTTACCTTTTAGGCAAGCTGAGCCTTTCACAGCTGATAATGAGTAGGCCTTTTTTCCTGGGATTAGTAGAAGTAATTTTCACTCAGCAGAGAAAGTGAGGATGAGATGAGAATGGATGAAGATGTCAGAAGCTCAATGCACCTTGATTTCTTATAATTTTTCTGCTAAGATGATATAAACATATTAATCACAAACTGCTTAAAACCAGTGATAGCCCTGACCAGCTGTCTTAGTTGGTTGGAGCATCATCCCATTGCACCAAAGGTTGCAAGTTCAAGTCAGGGCATATACCTAGTTTGTGGGTTCCATCCCTGGTCAGGGAGCATACAAGAGGCAACAGGTCAATGTTTCTCTCTCCCTTTATCTATCATCTATCTATCTATCATCTATCTATATCTATTTCTATCTCTATCTGTCTGTCTCTTCACTCCTTCCCTTCTTCCCTTCCTCTTTCTAAAATGAATAAGCATATTCAAGGATGAAGATTAAATAATTAAATAAAACCAATGATATATTGTGGAAACTCACAGAGACTAGGTCTTGATACAAACAATTTCCTATATAATAAAAGGCAAATATGCAAATCAACCGAATGGTAGTATGACCGGTTGCTATGATACACACTGACCACCCAGGGGCAGATGCTCAATGCAGGAGCTGCCCCCTGGTGGTCAGTGCACTTTCACAGTGGGAGCACTACTCAGCCAGAAGCTGGTGAGAGCAGCCCCACCTCC